TACTACAGGAGATTTATTCAGGATTTATCCAAGATTGTTATTCCTCTGACCCGCCCGATGAAGAAGAGTGTGGATTTCCATTAGGGACCTGAGCAACAGGCTGCATTTGAGACTATAAGGAGGAAGTTATGTGAGGCCCTAATATTGACCCTTCCTGAGGGTGTTGAGGACTTTGTAGTATTTTGTGATGCATCAATCACGGGTTTAGGGGTAGTACTCATGTAGCGGGGTAGAGTTGTAGCCTATGCATCCAGGCAGTTGAAGCCTCATGAGGCTAGGTATCCAACACATGATTTGGAGGTAGGGGCTGTGGTTTTCGCCCTCAAGATTTGGCAACATTATCTCTATAGGGTCCGATATACCATATACACAGATCAAAAGAGTTTGAGATATCTTATGGATCCACCAAATTTGAAATGAGGCAACATAGATGGCTTGACGCAGTCAAGGATTATGATTGTGATATTCTCTATCATCCGAGGAAGGCCAATATGGTCACCGATGCTTTGATCCGCAAGGTGTCTAGTACTCCTATCCAATAGCATTGTTTGAGGATGTCCATTGACTCCCCACTACTGGATTTGATTAGGGAGGATCATGCCGAGGGAGTTAAGAGGGAAAATTGGAAGAAGGAGAGAATCAGAGTTCAGATTGACAAGTTTTCTACTGATAGTCACCGACTTTTGACCCAGTGGGGTCGGGTTTGGGTTCCATTTTCTGTCAGGGTCTGACAAATAGTATTGGAGGAGGTACATAAGTCAAGGTTCTCGATTCACCTTGGACCCACAAAGATGTGTTGAGACTTAAGACTTAGTTATTAGTGGCCATGCATGAAGCGGGAGATAACATGGTATGTGGAGAGATGCTTGACCTGTCAGATAGTCAAGGTTGAGCATCAAAGGCCGAATGGAAAGTTGCAGCCCTTAGAGGTTCCGATATGGAAATAGGAACAAACCACCATGGATTTTATTACCAAGTTGCCAAGGACGACTAAGGGATTTGATGCTATTTGGGTCATTGTCGATCGTTTGACTAAGAGTGATCATTTTTTTGCTACCAGAGAGAGTTTTTCGGCCATGAAATTGGATGATGTGTATGTGCACGAGATCATTGCTCGCCAAGGTGTGCAGGTTTCTATTGTCTCCGATCTTGATGTACAGTTTACTTCTCGGTTTTAGCAGAAGTTTCATGAGGAGTTGGGTACAAGACTGCATTTCAGCATTGCTTATGACCCTCAGACTAATGTTTAGAATGAGCAGACCATTCAGACGCTTGAGGATACACTAAGAGCTTGTGTCATCTATTTTGGTGGGAGTTGGGACTCCTACCTTTCCTTCCTTACAACAACAACTATCATTCTAGTATTGGTGCACCGCCTTTCGAGTTTCTCTATGGAAGGAAGTATTGTACACCAGTTGTTGAGGAGATGTTGGCCAGGGTCCTAGGAAGGACCAAGGTGGTCCTTCAGACGACGAAACTAATACAATAGATTAGACAGAGGTTACAGACAACTCAGAGCCGACAGAAGAGTTATGCCGATAGAGGGCGATCCGAGTTAGAGTTCCAGGTCGGGGATATGGTTTTGCTGAAGGTGTCACCATGGAATGGTGCTATACCCTTTAGGAAGAGGGGCAAGTTGGGTCCTCGATTTATTGGACCATTTCGAGTAGTGGCCAAGGTAGGAAAGGTGGCCTACCAATTGGATCTGCTTGAGGAGCATAGTTAGATTCTCAATACCTTCCATGTTTCCCAGCTTCAAAAGCGTGTGGTTGACGATTCAGTGGTAGTTCCTTTGGATGACATTCAGGTGATAAGCGTATTAATTATATGGAGAGACCGGTGGCTATTCTGGATTGGAAAACGAAGACCTTGCGCAATAAGGTGGTACCTTTGGTCAAGGTCCGGTGGCAACATAGGAAGGGTTCCGAGTGGACCTGGGAGCCCGAGTCAAAGATGTGTGAGCATTATCTGGATCAACCGAGGATTTTGAGGATGAAATCTAGTTCATGTAGGGGAGAATTGTAACACTCAATCCTTGCAAGTAAATTCCTTCCCTTTACTTTTAAGTTTTGGTGTTGGGTGTGTATCTACGTAGGGCGTAGATGGCCTTCTACATGCTCCTTAAATGGGTATCTTGGAGACGGGGTTTTAATGATCTATGCAGGGCGTATATATGGGTACACAGTGTGTACCTACCCAGAGAGCAGACCCTAATCTTGGGGTTTTGAGCCCTATTTAAGGGCTCTAACTCTCTTAAGGCCCTTCCATTCTCAGCATACATTCCCCCAAACGTTCCCTTTGGAACCCTAGTTCCATTTTGGTGTATTTGTGAGCTTAAGAGTGTGTTTGTGTGCTTTTGAAGAAAGAAGAAGGTAGTGGAGTTACTTAGAAGCTTGAATTGGCTTTGGATCCATAAGTTCGTTCCCCTCATCCATCTCCAGAAGGTATAAAGTCTCCACCTTGATGTGTTTTTATGATAGATCTAGTTTATGCTTAAGAATTTCCATGTTTTATCCTAATAACCTTGGTTCTTATGAGTATGAGCTACTCTTGGCCATTAGGTTATCATTTCCAATAGATTTTGGAGTTGTTAAGTCATAAACTGAGAGCTTGGTCACTCTCATCCATCAATGCATGAGTTTCGGAGCTTTGAGTGACTTATTGGACTTAGGTTATGAGTTTGTGCCCTTGGTATGCATCCAAATGGACAAAGTATGAGACTTTATCCATTAAGACATCCATCTAGTTTAGAGCTAGAAGTTTGGTGGTTTAACTTCTTGTATTAAGAGATTAATGATCAAGTTAATGATTCTCTGAGTATGCGGGGCGTAATTCTTGCTACGCAGTGAATAGCCTTATTTTTCCTCATTTTGCCACCTTTGGCTCTACGTAGGGCGTAGAGCTATTACGCATGATGTAATTTAGCTGAATGTTGTCTTTTGACTTTTTGACCGGGAAGGTTGGCTTGATACAATATGACAACAAACCCTGGATGGTTGGGTTGAGGACACAGGCCAATAGAACCTATATGCATGGATTGTAATTGTTATTGTATTATTGTGTTGAGTATTTTTGGGAACTCACTACGCTTTGGCTTACAGTTGTGGATTTGAATGTTTCAGGTAGTTCAGATGATCGGAGAAAGACAAAGGCGTGACTGTGCACATCATTCTTGGATATTTTATTGATAGATAATTTTAGGATACTCTGATTTATGATTAAGGCTTTTTGGAAAGAATGCTTTTTATGATTTATGGTTTATTAAATGATTTTGAAAATGAAAATTTTCCTATGATTCTGGAATGTTACAAAATGCTTAAGGAGATACAAATTTACATAATGGATATGTTTACTCAGATGAATGACAAATATAAAAAATGGAAGTCCTATGTGTGCCTAAATATGTTGAAAAAATAAATCTATATGGGAAGTACATGAGGTATGTATTATTGAGCCAACTATAGTTGTATTTTATAAATCAATTCTCTTATGTTAATTTTATTTTTAAAATTTATGTGCCACTTTCAGGTTTTTGGATGATTATTCATAGCCAAGGTTTGGTGTTTGATGATAGATTCAATTATGAAAGTTTCAAGGTGGACTTGGAGGCTAGGACTTGTACATGCAGGATATGGGATCTTTCTAGGATCCCTTGTCTTCATGCAAATGCTGCCATTAACTATATCCATAAGACACCTGATGGATGTGTTATTGAGTGCTTCTTAAAAGACTATTTTATTGAATGCTACCAAACTAACATAATGTCTATCAATGGGAGAAATTTGTGGGAACAAACTCCATTCTAAAAACCATTGTTACCAAAAGCTAGGAGAATGCCAGGAAGACCTGCCACCAAAAGGAGAAGGCGTTCAAGTGAAAAAGAGACCAAGTTTTCTACTGCAAGAGTTCATTTATTCAAAACTGTGATGTGTGTTAATTTCTTTGAATTTGGACATAACAAATAAAGTTGTACAAATGAAACAAGGCCAAGAATAGCACATGTACCAAAAAATTGGTAGGTCAAGAAAAAGTCAAGGGGTACATGAAAGTGCCACAACTGAATCAAGTTCAATGATTCAAAATGTGGATCCTAATCAGGCATCTAGTTCTAGGAGGTAGACTAGGAGAAGGAGTACAAAAACTGGTAATGATCCAAATCAGCCTTCTGGTAAAAGGAGAAAAATAAATGTTAGAAGGGATGGAGGTAGAGCTGGAGGTGGTGAGGGAAAAAAGCTATTGACGAAGGACAAAAGCTACTGATTAGGGACAAGTTGTGAATAAGGAACAAGAAGTTGAGAATGAAGGACAAAAAGTTGTTGATGAGGGACAAGATGTTGAGAATGAAAGACAAAAAGATATTGATGAGGGATAAGATGTTGAGAATGTGGTTGAAATTAAACAACCTATGGATAAGGTTCAAAGCCATGAAATTGGATAAAAGGTTGATGAGGATATGGTCAGTCAAGTTATAGATGAAGTTGTTGAGGGACAATCTAAGTCAATGAAGTTGAGTGAAATTATTGATGATGTTGAGGCTGGTATAAATGAAATTCTTAAAGACATTTAGGATGCGGAACCTGAGTTTCTTGAAGGTAATGCAAATGATGTTATACTTGAGAAAATCCAACTCAATGAAAAAGATATATCCATGATACTAGAGGCAGGATACAACATTGGTGAAATTAAATGTAGTAAAGGGATAGCAATGCCATTAGATGACATGGAACCTATTGAACTGGTAATTAATGTGCCATTTATTCTATTGAAATGAAATTTTATTTTATTTGTCCCATATTGTAACTGAATGTCATATATATTGGCTGAATAGGAATTACAAGATGAAGAAGGGCATCCAGATGATGTTGAGGTTTTTGGTAATGATGAAGTTAATGATGGAGGAGTTGATGCAGGGGAATAAGCATAGAATGAAGGTGATGATGAATGAGTATTTGTAGGAGATGAAGCAGCTAATGATGTAGGAAATAAACCAACTAATGATGTAGAAGCGGAAGCAGGGAATGAAGCAGCTGCTGAAGGAGTGGATGAAGGACAAGAGGAAACTAATGAAGGAGTCAATAACTTACCTGTGTATAGGAAAAGGATACCTTATGAGAGGGTATTGAAGATTAAGTTGAAGAACCCTGTGTATGACAAAGATGGTAGTGGTTCAAGTGCTACCAAGCCTGTCAGTTTGGAGTAGTTGGGTAGGGATTAGGAAAAGGGTTGAAGTGGGATGTTAATCACTGACATATGTTGCCTTCTTTTGCTAATATCTTTTCTTATTCCCACTGTTGCAGCAAACATCTAATTGTCATATATGTTGTGTTGATAGGCTTGTTTGATAGGATTTTTTGGCATAATTAGATGATCGATACATGTAACATTATGTGAAACATTATGTAATGCACACCCATATTCTATGAAATATGGTTTATGCTAATATTATTTGATTATAACATCTTACAATGGGTTTGGTTTATAGCATCATACTTTGTTTTTTTTTGGATTATATCATCTTACAATTGGATGACATTTGGCTTTTAATGCTTTAAAGCATCATACTTTGGTATGGATTAAAACATTTATAACATCGTACTTTGGTTTTAATGGATTATAGCATCTTACAATTAGATGACATTTGCTTTTTTTATGGTTTATAGAATCATACTTTAGTATGTATTAAAACATTTATAGCATCGTAATTTGGTTTTTTATGGGTTATAACATCTTAAAATTGGATGGAATTTGGTTTTTTATGCTTTATAGCATCATACTTTGGTATGGATTAAAACATTTATAGAATCATAATTTGATTTTTTATGGATTATAGCATCTTACAATTGGATGACATTTGGTTTTTTATGCTTTATAGCATCATGGATTATAGCATCTGAATTTCCCTCTATCATGACATTATTCAATGCCTAAACCGCCATCTGTTGATATTATTTAATGCCTAAATTGGATTAGCATTTACAACTTTGCACATAAAAAATTACAAAGACCACAAAAAGGATTACCATTAGATTATCATTTTGCACCTTGCAAATTACAACATAAATACTTTCAAAACATGGATTCCAATTCAAAACACTTGTGCATTACATTTCAAAAGTATACTGCCTAAATTACATTTTCACGACAACAATTACAACCATCATTGAAATAAACATTAACAACCCTACAAAAATCTTCAACACTCCAATCAATTTATCTTCTTGCTCGATTGATTTTTTTCCCACATTCATCCACCCACTTGAAAAAATGGCAACTTGAAGAGTCCTACAAATTAAAAGGGAGAAAAATGTGTAATCACAACCCTAAAACCATGGTAACAATAATCATTTCAATTTAAGACAAAAATTACAAACTACCATGAAATTAGGGCATACCCAAAATCTTCTACCAGGGTTATATGGTGTTCTTGACACTGCTATGGAGCAGACATCACCACAATAACATTTAACAAGTTTCATTCTACGTGAAGTTGTTGAGTTTGAAGATGAAGCAACCATTGTTGCGTGAAGTTGCTTTGATTCGGGCTACATAAATGAGGGAGGAGGGAGGAATGACGTTGGGAGTCCCTTTTTTTTATAAGAGTATTTGTGTAACGGGTGAGTTGTCACCAGATGACCGGCTCCAAACCTGCTATATGACGTTTGTGACAAAAAGAGCCCAAATGTTAGGCATTAACACACTAAAATTCGTTGCAGGGACTTAACCAAACAAAATTTGTAAACTTATGAACTTTTATTCGATGCCTAAATTGGATTATGATATAAGTCGATGTAGAGTAAGTTAAACAACTTGTAAACCGCACAAACCGCCCACACCAAACCGCACCGCGTAACACGGTATATCATATTCACGGTGCGGTTTATGGTTTCCAAAAATCTCAAACCGCATATGCGATGCAGTTTGTGATTTAGACTCTAAACCGCACCAAACCATACCGCAAACACCCTGGAAGAATGTCCCTACGGTTAGAATCACCTTATTATTATTATTATTATTATTATTATTATTATTATTATTTTTAACAGCCATATGATCTTTCATTCTTTTATTTAATTTTGTATCATCATTGTTTTCTTAAAAGTTTAATGTATTTTCATTAATATTTCCATTCTAATTAGCATTCATACATATAAAACGACCTATTAAATTATTTACAATCAAATTATTATCTCATTATGATTAATGATTCTTCAAAACAACAAATATTCTAGATACGCATATATTTAAACATGCTATCACACAATATTAAAATTACTAAGGAACAAATAAATTTAAAAAGACAAACGATGAAATTTTTCTATAGAATATGAATGCACAATTTTTGGATAGAAGTTATAATATATATCTTTGCAATATATACTATTTCGTTTTATATAATACTATGCGCGTGATCGGCACAGAGCGTTTGAGAGCGTCTAGCTTCTAGCGTTTGACAAAACGCTCCGTTTTGAACAAAAAAACCTTGTTTGGCACTACAAGCTTGTAGCGTTTTGTTTAAACAAAACGCTCCAAATCCAAATGCTACTTCATGTAGCGTTTAACAAAACGCTACAAGCTACCCGCTAACAGCTAATTTTACCGAACACGCCCTATACATTTTTATCGAGCTTTATTCATTTTTGGGAGTCAAAGTATAAAATATAAATAAATAATTAAATACCAACAAATACTACATGACTCCATCCATCGCAACAACTTCTATTCTTTCTCATGGCGGTAGCTGACCGGAAACGTCCCCATGATGACGGCGATGATCACCCAACAAGAGAAACAAACCCACCTTCGCGACCACCACTGGTGGTTCTGTGGCAATGGAAAGATTTTGCTAAAAAACCTCAGCTTCTAACACTATCGAAACTGAAGACATTGCAAGCAACAAAACCAAGGAAGAAGAAATCGAAGAGAATGAATTGGGAAACATTGAAATACTGCAGGAGATTCTCTCTTACAGAAATCGAAAAGGAGTGTGGCCATGTGAAAGCCCATATGATATGCAAAGATTCTGTTTTCCTTATGTTCATATGGGCGTTGGGAATGAAGAGTTGTGGGTTAAGAAAATGAAAGAGATGAAGAACAAATTCAATAATGAGAATTCTCCAATGGAGGATGTTGATAAGAAGGAATTCATATTATGGAAGAAGATTTGGGGAAACGAACCAAATGGTGATATTGATGATGATTCGAATTTGGGTTCATGTAAAGTAGTTTTCTAATCTTTTTTGCAGGATTTAATTTTATATGTAGATGATGATTTCTTATCTCAAGAAACTCAATAGTGGATCAAGAAAGTGCATGGTAAATAAAGCTTTGTAATTGAAATCCAAATAATAATGAAGTGATTTAATATATATTTGGTAAAATTGAAAGGAATTATTATTTGGTTGGTTAGAATTATATTTTAATTTAACAAATAGGCATATAATACAAGCAAACATCAATCATACAGCTCACTACTTCCTACTAGTCCTCTCACAACATACAGTCCTACTACCAACTAACCTTCATAGAATGTGTAACCATAAGTAACCAGATGTGAGATAGCCACTCGAACAAATGATCCTATTCTAGAGCCACAACCAAACAAGGAACAAGCAAGAAAGACTAGATCAAGAGTTCTTAGGCTATCCTACATGACCACAGACAGTCCCTAGGGCACTCTACCAGATGATAAACAGCAAGAACATATAACATACAATTCTACAGATCACTACAGCAACGTAACATACTTGATACCCAGATACAAATCTAACAGATCACTACAACATAACAACATACTTGATACCAGGATACATATCTAACAAATCACTATAGCATAGAAGCATACGGAATATCAACAATCCAAGGAATGCATGACCGTATATAATCAGAGGTGAGATAGACACCTGGACAGGTGATCCTACTCTAGAACCACAACCAAACAAGGAACAGGTAAAAGAGCCTAGATCAAGAGTCCTCAGTCTATCCTACATGACTATATACAATCCCTAAGGTATCCCTCTAATAACAAATAAACAAAACTAGTGGGCCGACATTGGTGCCTTCAACCCACGGGTACAGTAAGGCGAAACTCACCTGAAATGAAGAAACCCGAGAACACTATGATACGCTCCCTACTACATTGCTTGCTCCCACGGATCTACTAACATCAGAACCATATAAAATCTTAATCACCAATCAAAACCCTCAAGTTTGACCTAAAGTGAAACTTGGTCAAAAAGTTCAACGGTCAACGGATTCAACAAAAGTCAAAGTCCAAGAATGGTTGAGTACTCCCTGCGTACTCAACTTACACCGCATGTGCATGGGATGGCTTAGTACGCCCAACGTACTCGAGCTGGTTCCATCCTTTCCATTAAGCACTTAATCCCTTAAGGACTTTTCACCCAAACTTAGATCTAGCCTCAAAACATTGTCTTAAGTCATAATGTTTACACCTTTATGACTTTCCATGGCTAGGGAAGGTCCAAATGCTAAACCCCTAACTTATTAATCCATTAAGACATTACAACTCTTGCATGTAAGGGATAGAAGGACCAAGATCACATTTTTATGGTTCTTAATAGCTCCATAATAGGTAAAGTTTCCAAATTTATCCATTAGAATGACCCAACAAACAAGATATAGTCTTTAAGTCGTAAAGGGACCAAAAGTGCATCTTTTTCAACTTAATCCATTACGTCCAAGTCTCCAACCTTTAGATCTGAATCAATATGATGTTTAGATGGATAAAGTTTCCAAATTTATCCATAACAAGGTCAACACTTTCAAGATCTAAACTTTATGCACTTAAAGTGACCAAAAGCACATAACACCCAAAACTAGCTAAATCTAATGATTTCATCATCAAGATTCAAACTTTATACCTCTATAAGAAAGATCAGGGTGAACAAGGTCTAGATCTACAAGCTCCAATGCAACTAATGCTTCTTTAATGAGTTCCTTCTTCTCCAAGGTGCACCAAGAACACTCCAAAGCACTCAAAAAAACATTCTTTTGTCTCACAAGGCTCAAACTAGGGTTAGGGTTTCAAGAGAGGGTGTTGGAGAGGTGGAGGCTGAGAATGGAGTGGGTTTAGGGAAGTTAAGGAGCTTAAATAGGGCTTAAACCACGAAAATAGGGTTTGGGCACTGATCGTGTGTGCCTAGCGTACTCTTGGTACACCCAACGTACTAGGGATGCCCC